TGGCTATTGCTACAAATATACCCCAGCGACTTAAGACTGCTTTTGTGCTCCAGGGTCACATCTGACAAAAAGGCACCTTTCGAAAGCCAATGAGACTTCAGCTCATTCTCCAGTCTTTTCAGTTCTTGAAACACACGTTTATTAATATTTCTGATCTCTTGACTGCTGAAGATCTACAGCTGTGACTGAGTGAGCAAGAACTACAAATCCCATGAGCACTTGAGAGAGAGAGAGAGAGATGGCAGAGCGAAGCCATGCATGCAGACAGAGAGACAGTGAGCCGCGCCAGCGTCCTGAACGGAGAGAAAATCACAAACAAACATGTTTCTACAACTACACACGTTTAGCAGAGATCAATCAGTGTATATACAGTATTTGGCCGTTGTGATATCGCTGACATTGTTCAATAGTCACACACAAAAAAGTATTAGTTCTAAAGCTGCACAACTTGTTTAGATTATTTATTATTAATTATTTTGACAAATACTTTGATCTAACAGCAATATGATCAACTTTTAACATTTCGTATTGCTGATGTTTATATACCAGTGATTAAAAAACAGCAAAAAAACACACAGAAAAAAGTAAATCGGTACAACAGCTCATGTTCAAAAAAGTAAGTATTTTTAGGTATATTTGTAGCAGCCAAAAATAATTTGAACTATGCATTTTTTAATGATTATATTATGAATGTAAAGGGAATCTGTTCTTCGTTCACATTAAAGTACACAGCAAATGTACAAACTACAAGTTAATTGAATTCAGGGTTTCTTAGGTTTTATAAGGTTAAATCTAAGTCTTTTTGAGACCAATTAAAGAAAAAAAAATAAAATAAATGTAAGGAGGCATGAAGAAATTAATCAAAATAAAGTGAGTTTATGATTAAAACAAGAACAAATATCTGTCAATGAGGTCAGAGAAATCTACTTAATTCAAAGGGAAAACACGTTTAAGCATAAACACTTAATTTTGCTAAATGTCTTATAAAACAAGACTTCATATGTTCATTTTGCATTTCAAGTAGATGTATTTTTATTTATGGATGTCTAGATATTTGTACTAGAAAACAACTTAAAATACCAGGGAAGATTTTCATTTAATGCCACGACTTTCGGCTCCGATTTAAGATCTTTTTAAGGCATTAATTTGTGATTGAAGACTTTTTAGGATCTTTAAAGATCCAGAGACCCTCTAATTGTGCATCGTCAAAGCATGTCTGTGGATCATAAAATTAAAATTAAAAATAAAAAAGCATCTTCTGTTAATATCAAAAACATTGTGTAAAATAAGCATTCAATTAATTTTGTGTTTTTTTGACTACTTAATGCTACCATTAATTTGTTCATGTCACCGTTATCAGCCACTGGCTGATTAGATATCAGTATTAGCAAAAGAAAACTCATGCTGGCTGACTATAAAGGTTTGCTACGTGCTATTTCTGTTTTTTTTTTCTTTTTTAAATCTGCTAAAAACTTTATTCAGTCAGCAGTAAAATAGTATATACACATGGACTAAGAGCCATTAAACTCCATTCTTTTAGTCCTAAAAAAGTGAATTTTAAAACATTTTGGATATTGCTCACCTTGGCAAAATTTATTTGTATTTATTTATTAATACTAGTTAATGTAGTTAATCTTTTTTTTTTCACATTTTTAACTATTAAACAGTCTGAATCTAATTGGCAATGACTGTTCAGCCAAATAATAGTTCCTCTGATTAGGGAAACATATATATATATATATATATGTATATATATATATATATATATATAT